TTAATTGCCATTTCGATGTCTGAAACAAGTGGTTCAAAAAACAAATAACAGGTATTTGTTTACTTAATAGTTAAACTCCTCTCTCACTTCCAGTTCTTCTTTGTGTGCTTTGCTTTTCAGATGAACCTCATATGGAATGGGTCCATTCAACTTTTTATCACATATTTCACAGTAGTATTGGTTTTCTTGACTTGAATTGCTTTTACTTGAACTGCTTTTTCTTGAACCATATGCTGCAGAAAAAAAAGGAGTCTGTCTTCAAACCTGAGATACGAAAATCTATGGTGGGTTGACTTAAGGGGGCAAGTTTCTAAAGAAACTGTGGTGCTGCATTGGTAGGAGAGCATAACAAGGTAATTTAGTAATATCAGCCGAGTTGATAATGCAAATTGGCCACTGTGAAGAGTTTAAAAGCTCACGTTTCAAGCATTAGCCCTCCGTTGAATTGTTCTGACTAATAGCTGATGCTAAAAACATCAGCTTTTAAACTCTTCACAATGGCCAATTCACGTTATGAACTTGCTTGATGATACTAAATTCCCCTATGGTGGGTTGACCCTTACAATATCACTCTTAAGTCAAACACTAAGGTCACAAGAATAAAGGAAATCATCACCAACTAACTATGCTCTTGATTGTCTGACAAATTCTCCTCGTCAGCTCCTCAGGGACAGTAGAGAGAACAGTATAGAGAATATGCATACTGATGTTAGGGTGAAAAGGGTTCAGACTTAGAGGCCAAGTGGCCCATAACTGCTAGGGCGTAACCCCAGTTTCTAGCCTTACCCCTCTGTGCAGGATATCAGTAGCTGTTTGATAGGAACTAAATTCATTTTCTTGCCAAAACTTTTGTTGAAAAGGAAAGTTACCGACAGGTGCCTTATTGTATTTAGAATCTCTTCTACTGCTTCACATTTTCAAGCTCACTTGTGTCAATCCAAATGTTGGAGAAACTCACCTGATACATAAGGCTTGAAAGCTGGCTTAGCGCCTGGATTACTCTCTGCCTGTTTATCATCTATCTCAGTTTTTTTCTTTTTTGCATCTTCAAGCCATGGCAGAGAGGTAATTTTGTCTTCAAGAACCTTGAATGAAACAAATCTTTATGATTAACACTAAAATAAAAAATACCTGATTATTTCAAAATGTAATGAAAATACCAGTGCAACCTTGAAAAGACCCCTAGAATTAATGATCACAGGATTGTTTCAAAGTAACAGTTAACCCCTCAGTGACAAGCATCTAATTTCCTCCAACAGTATCACCCTTGAAGCTAACTTTAAGGTCACAAGAATAACAAAAAATAATTATAACGAACTCAAGAAACTTCTGATTGTTAGACAAATTCTCCTTTTCAACACCATGAACATAACTGTATTGTAATGTATAGAGAACAATATGGAGATCTTGCATACTGATGGTAAGGTGTGAAGGGTTTAAAATCTTAAAGTCAACATACTGATGCACAGGGCCATCAGCGCATCTTGCAACTTCTGTGCACTCCTTTAAAAGTAAGATGCAAGTGTCTTGCCTGGGAGTATGACACTGTTAATTATCCTTACCAAACCTCAAACCCACTATTTTTGCTCTAGAGTTGACAGAACTAACATCAGTCCCTGCACCTTCCAATGATATGCAACAACACTACAACAACAACAACAACAAAAACAACACACATAATTGTACCCTGAACAATTTTTCTTATAGATTTATGTCACCAATACAATACATCATCATAGAAATAGGAAAGTCAAGTAATATTCACATTTATGGAGTCCATAAACTGACACTTACCATCATATAAGTTGCTGGTACAAATCCTATATCTCCATTTTCATTCTTTGCCTCCCACCAGAATGGATTTGAAGGGTGTGGTCTGCTAAACACTAATTTCTCTCCTTGCGTAATTGTTAACTCATCAAATCCTCCAGGTTTGGCTGGATTTGCTGTATACTTGTACTTTGCCAATAATCTTACTGGTTTACCTCCTTTTTGTGCTGGCGGTGTTGGGAATGTTTCTAAAAAGTACAAATGTGAACAAAATTAATTTTATATAAACAATTGCCTCTATATGGTGCAAAAACATAAATGGATATTTGTCTGCAACATTATTTGTTCCGAGATGAGGAACAGATAATTTCCAAGAACAAATATATGGGCATAGTCTTGTTAAATATTGAGGCTATTGTGTTTATTATTATATATAAAAAAATATTTTAAGAGGGGTGAAGAAATGGTTTCAGCATTCTCTTTAACACTCTTATGAACAAACAAGCTTATTCCTTCTTCTGCAGTAACAGAAAAACGCTTCCTACTCCTGAATTAAATTTTAAAAGAAGACTTTTTTCATAATAGTTGTAAGGTTTAAAAATTGGATAATATCACTCAAGGTGTATCCTCAGACATTTCCCCGTTTTAGCTAGGGTATATTTGGTCACGTGATATCTTAAGATCCATCACACACGAGCAAAATTGTATGATGGACTACAAGTTATAATATAGTGACCACTGGGAAGACTTTCGGGCAAGATTTCCGTCGGACCCCATACTCATTATGCAACATTACTTGGATAACATAAAACAATGGTAAACATTAGATTACCTTTGGGACCACAGCTCTCTTTAAGAATAGCATGAGGTTAAACGGAAATCTTGCCGAATTTTTATTTTGAACGTTGAACTGCTCGATCGACTAAACAAGTACCTACTCCACCTCCGTTCTTATGCACGTGCATTTCCCCGCCATTTTGCACGCGAGAATTATTTACTGTCCCGTCCTTTTTGAGAGCAGCGTTTGCATAAGCTGTCTGTCCAGGTCGTCTACATGGTTGTAGCGAGGTAAAACGCAGAATTCCTCTGCCGTAAGTTCTTGTTTTAGTGGTCATAGTGACCTAGAACCTCACAAGATTCACAGGCAGTCCACAGCTGCTCAGTCAGAAAACGGATCTAAATACTTCATGTATATAATCCGAAAGTGTCCGCACTCGTTCTAGTCTCCTACGATGTCACTGTAACATTCTCGCTTATCCGGGTGAAGGACGAAGTTGTAAAAAAATATGCTTTTTCTTTCCAGTTGCTAATCAGAAGAGCAGGTACGGAAATTATGAAGGAATTCGCCCCCACAAATTTTCACCTTAAAACCTAGCACCTTCCCTTTCAACCAATCAGATGCAGAGTTATAACAAATCGCAACTTGTCTTTTCAATTTTTCTCATGCTCACTTTTTCATGTACATAAATTTTTTTTTCGCATTAGGCATCCTGGAGTTGCAGTTATATAATCAACGCAATAGTCAACGCTATCATCAAAGCTATAATCATCGATATCATGGAGGAATTTGACTGCACCTTTTGCACACAAATCGTCACCTTCCGCCAGGAAGCCCCACTCTGCGGCGGATGCGACAGGTGGCAACACCGTCGTTGCCACACTGGTGTTGACAGGGCCACGTATGGATAGGCAGTAAGGACCGACCAGGGGCGGGTGTCACGCGGACAACACTAACGTCCCCGCATGTAGTAAGTAAAAATTACTGATAGGTATGATTAGTAGTCTCAAAAAGTTGTTGTAGTTGTTTTTTTACACAAGCCACTCTAGAACGAAGTAAAGATGACGATCGTGACCCTTATTACTACACGCACAGGGTCAAAGAGGCAATTAATGTAAGACTTCACCTTAACAGCATCAACAGGGGTAGTTGAATAGAAATTCCAGAAGCGTGGATGCCCACGATAAAAAAACACAACAACAGGAGAGCCGTGCGACAGCAGACCGCCGAGGGAGCAAATCACTGAGTGAACAGCAAGGATCGAAATGCACAAATCAGAGCTGTTGAAAAACAAGTAATCACAGCAGAGCATCATGCTTATAAGATCACGCATGACCAGTCGACCTCATCGCCTGAAGAAGACTAGCAGTACGCAGTCGAAACGTCGCGATCTACATCACACATGACTACATCGTGAGACAAACGGAAAACTTAGCTTTTACTGTTTTTCACTACGATGAATAACCACAACCTTTTCTATAAAAAGTTTCTTGTAATAATTAAATTGCATTTGTAAACTTTATTTTATGTGTAAGCTATAAAAAAGTTTGTATGTATCAGTGACAGATTAGTACATATTGTGAAACGCGAAATATAATGAATTTACTCTAAAATGTCGCGAAATGAACGCGCATTGTGCAGAATTATCATCGTGCATCACAACATTTATCCAATATTCCAAAAAGGGCCAAATCAATTTGTCTCTTATTTCAAAGCACGATGAGATGAACACAATTAACATTTATCAAATTTTCATGCGATATTTTTCGAGTATCATCAATTTTTTTTTCAATTGAATCAACTGTTTTATACAATGATTGTCATAGTACGGAGTTTAAGACGTAGCGAACTAACACATTGGACGTAGGCGAATCGACTCTAGACTAGGCGAAATGACCGTAATTCACTACTTGTAATGAAAACAGCCATCTGCTATGCAAAGATTAAATCAACTTCAAAGGTTGAATGGAGTCTAACATTTCAGGCTGAGTTCTTGACATTTAAACCTCAAGATCGTGGATAACTTAGCCTGAAAACAGTTCTAAGTTCTATTTTTTTCACCTTTGCTAGCACAATGATTTTTAAATGTGGACTCCATCTATCTGTCTTTCTTTCTAGGGTATGAGCCTCCGTTTGCGGACAGCCAACATCATTATGTGAACTTCCTTGCGAAGACAAAAGTATGAGATACAAAACAACATTTCTAAGGCATGTAATTTTGCTATTTTCTAAATTGTGTCCCCTATAATATAACTGTGATGAACACAGAGTTGAGTACTTCATTTTTATTTTTATTTTATCCTAAATTCAGTTA